CGTCTGGAAGAGACACATTTGAGTTGCATTTGAGCGTGCACGTGCCCGAGTGCATGTACGTGCGAGTATGTGAGAGAAACGAGGTGTGCTTAACGTGTGCGTGCCGCCGTCCCCAAGATCCCCAACCTCAGCTAACTGGCTTATGAATGTTGGATGGGAGTTTTTATGATCTTGTTAAAACTGGTTACATTATTCAAAGCTCCATTCATTAAGAGAGAGAAAAGGCAAAGAGAGAATGATAGATTGAGAGGGAGAGAGAGAGAGAGAGAGAGAGAAGGAGACAGAAAGGCCGCAGGCTGAGTGAAATTTTAATGAATTCTCTCACAGTCGAAGGAAAAACGATTGTGAAAGTTGGCAGAGAAGGACAAGATTTCAACTCCGCTGATTTCTCCTGTGTCATCCGCTCTTTTATTTTTTGTCTCTTCTAATGGGAGATGTTCAAAGAAAGACAAAAGAAAGTGAGAAAGGGAGATGTCAGAGGTATCATTTTCATCCAGATGTGTGACACTGCTACCTCAAGGTTGCTTTTCTCACCTTATTAAGCCAGAAATGAAAAATGTTCAGCTGCACAGAAGAGGATTGCGTTCTGTCTACTATCTAATTTACACTACAGTTCAAACATTTGGAGTTAGTAAGATTTTTTTTTTTTTAAGTTTTTGAAAGTCTCTTATGCTCACTGAGACAGCATTTATTTGATCAAAAGTAAGTAATATTGTGAAATATTATTGCAATTTAAAATAACTGTTTACTAAAATAGCCATTATATTATATTATGTTATATTATGTTATGCTATGCTATGCTATGTTATGTTATGTTATATTATATTATATTATAATGTCATTTAGTTCTGTGATGGCAGAGCTGAATTTTCAGCAGCCATTACTCCAGTCTTCAGTGTTAAATGATCTTTCAGAAATTAGGATTTGTTAATGAATAAAACAGCATTTATTTCAAATATATCTTCATAACATTATAAATGTCTTTACTGTCACTTTTAATTAATTTAATGACTAATGATTCATGATTATTCTCAAATAAAAGTATTAATTTCTTTCAAAAATATTATTACTGAGCCCAAAATTTGTATAATGTGGCACATTACTGGTATGAAGAATCAGATACATACAGCACAACTAGTGTTACCTGGTTTTGTTGTATGAGCCAGTTCTTGTGAATCAGTCTTCTATAATTTACAGCATTAGCAGACAGAACATTTATTTTGTATTTAAGCAAAATGGAGATTATATCTGAAATATATCCAAATGAATCAGAATCAAATCTAATCGGGCTGAGAACTTGTGAATCAGAACAGAATCAAATCAGGAAATCTGTATTGATTCTCAGCCCTAGATACAAAACACATTAAGGGGGACCAAAAAGACTGGCAACACTCTATAAAATAAAGATTCCAAAAGGGGGTTTTCACAGCAATGCAATTAAAGAAGCATTTTTGGTTCCCCAAAGAATGTGCCATGTAACAGTTCTTAAAATAATCATTTTTGATTAGTGTGAAGAACTTTTTCTAGTTTAAAGAACCTTTTGTGCAATGGAAAGTTTCCATGGATATTTAAGGTTCTTCATGAAACCATGGATACCAATAAAGAACCTTTATTTTTTAAGAGCGGAATGTATGACGCTAGAGAAAAACAGCAGTAATTTGTTGTCATGTGAACAGGAAGAGTATTTTTAATGAAAGGATGTCTGGTAAGAAATCTTACTTCACCCGTCATTGGCATTCACTGTGGACTCTGTGTGTACACATGTGCACCTGCAGGCTCCATATCACACTCCTTCACTGTTGAAGATAAGAGATACTTGAGGCGTGTGTGTGAGTGTTTCCAGGGCTGAGACAGGGATGTGAGTGTGTGAAGAGATGTGAGATCACGTGTGGAGACGATACTGGTGGACAGCCTCTCATTAGCCTCTCATAGTCCCCTCACCCGTTGGGACTAGTTTTAATGCTTGCAGGTTAATGTCACAGCTTAGGATAGTCACTAGTGAAGGTTTTTAGACTTTGCATGTTCTTGTGGTGTGATTAGCCAATTAACATTATCATGATGTCATTTTCCCGCAGCTCTAGAGAGATTAGTCACATGACATTTACACCTCAGATGATTGGCTAAAAAAAGCAACTAGCATTGAGATTAATTGGAAAGCTAACAGACAGCTTTCTTCAGGTATTAACGGCCTCTTTGGTTGTGAAAGAGAAGAGGAAGACAGAGACAGAAGGACGAAGTAGTCTGGCCAGATTGGCTCCTTCTAAGCGTTAATAAGAAGGATAATGAAATTAGAGGTCTGAAGGCTTGTAGTGTGGTCACAATGCTGTTCTGACTTCATTAGCAATTATGTAAACATGGGCAAGCACAGTGTTTTCATGCGTGTGCCTACTTTTGACTATATTAGTCAAATATCTGAAAAAGTCCTAAAAAGACAGTAAATCCTTTTAAAACTTTTACATTTTAGAAGTGTATAAACTAATTCAGTTTCCACGGGGGTTTTCAAACTTTTTTATATCAAGGACCCCATTCTTAAAATAAAGGCTGCAATATATTTGCATAAAAATTCATTAGAAAATATAATTTTAAAATGTTATTTATTTTATTGTGAACGATTCATTCATGCATACATATTTATTATTATTATTTATTTTAGATTTGACCAAAAATGTCACAATAATTCGATCTTACAGGAAAACGACAGAGTTCTCTCTGGTGACGTACACTGGATTTTTTCAATCATTTAGTTCATGTAAACTGTAAACTCTGCTGCTTTCTTACAACCAACTGCAAGATTGCATTCAGATCTGCCACCATTCAATTAAAAACCGATGGACTGAATACTATTTTTTTTTCTTTTTTGATTTTGATTAATTTCATTCAGATTGTGATGGATCGGCTGCCTCCCCCCTAATTATCATCATCACCCCGTCCCTTAATCACTGCCCTTCACCAGGCTCCCGACAGGAGTGGGTGTGTGAGAGAGGAGGGGCGCAGAAACAGCCAGGTCTGGAACCTCGTCACCGCCGCTGTCAAAAGCCGAGCGCACTTCTCCTCGAGAGACTGGTCTCTTCCCCCTGTGCATGCACGCTGGTGTCCTCGTGGGTCCAGGAGGGGAACGTAAAGGGACTCCCACGCCGCCAGAGACGCGAGCTGCCGGACCTGCTGTCCGGAATGGAACCGCACCCGTGAAACGGTCGACGAGCCAGGATGCCGGGCCGTTATTCCCCTCAACCGCCGCGCGCCAAGGAAGATGAGCCGCTGTGACGAAGCCAGAGAGGGGAGTGCGTGCGGCTGGACCCCTCCTTTCTGAACACTTCCCTTCCTTCACCATTCACCGGCACAACGAGGACACCAGATCCCCTATTTATTTTGGACACCATTTTCCCTTGGACACTTTATTCCCGTTTTGGACATTTTGTTTGATTTCCTGTTAAATAAAAGCCTCTCCGAGGCCTGACGCCACACCCACTGTGTCTGTCGTTTGCTCCTCCCACCACAAGATATAAGTTACAATGCGAAAGAAAATATCTGCCACTACTTCTGCTACATTGCAACGTAGTTCGATATTATAAATAGATGTTATTTTAAAAATTAAACATTTATCACTGTACAAAATCGCTGACTAATGTATGCATGAGCATATTGTTTTTCTACCCATTATTAATATTATATGTTAAAACTTGGAGAAACATTTTCAATTTAATTATTTACTTTTTTAACATAGTTCTTCACAAAAGTGTTTTTATTCAAATCAGAATGTTTTATGTTAAATATTGCATTAAATATATTTAATATCTTAAATTAGTAAAAATGTACAGCCCTAAAAATACATTTGCAAAATATTTTCCTTTTTATTTTTCCTATAACACTCTTTGTGCCCCACTTTGGGGTTTCTAGACCCTGGTTTGAAAACTTCTTGGTTAGTGAACTGGGTGAAATTATTATTCATGAGTAAGACAATTTCACAATGTCCCCTCAGTTTTCAAATTGTTCCTATATGCACCTGCTTGAAACCAATATGAATTGTGAATAATGTGACAGACCTCAATAAGTTTAATTAATGAGCCAAAAACATCAACTTGTTAAAGGAAACAAACTCTTTTCCATATCTAGAAGCCTGACAAACTTTACTGCTCACTTTGCTAACACCACTCCAAACGCACATATTTTCAAGATGTCATTCTGCACGGATGGTTTTCCATTAACACTTAATTCTTTTATCACACTTGAGCGTTCCCTCAAAACAGAGTTGCCAAACAGGCATCGAAGAAGCTGATGACTGACTGCCTCTCCACATACACACAAACATATGCACCACTCCTACATGCTCATTTTCAGTTACGGAACAATGCAAAATTGTGACACACCAAAACAGGATAAAGGACATGCTAATGGACTGCTTTTATAAAAATGCTGTTTCCAAGCAACTAACAGGTGAGAGGAGCTGCAGCTCTGTGCGTCCACAATACTGACAACATGAGAAACAAAAACAGAAACTGAGAAAGAGAACCATGATCACACGAAGGTGATGATGTGCAATCATGAGAACAGATATAAATCATAATACAGCATAAGCCAATGGCAATAAAAGACGTGCACTACATAATGCAATAAAACTCAACTCAATACATTTGAGTTAAATTCAGTACATGTAATCCAGTAGTCTGTGAATAACACACCTTTAACAGTATTGGAAGCTACTGAAAGGGGAAGCCTAATGACTCACGAACAGTTTCTACTGGGTAACATGATGTGACAGCAATATAAGCTGGTGTGTGCATATAATCAATGCAATTCATTTACATCAGGCCCAACACATCCAATCATCCAATATCTCTGGTGTGTGTATATATTTGTGTGATGTTAAAATCAATTTAAGCGAATATTAAGCAAACATTTAGGCAGAATAGAACACTTCCATCTTTACTTTCCTAAAACAAAACCCTTAAACATTAAGATCACTGGCATACAGTTAGGAGAATAGATGCATGCAGACTGACCAATAGTTTGTGCTGTTGTCGAAGCAGGTAGAGAGCGGCGGTCTCGGGTGAGAGTTTGTGTTTCCTGTCCTCTAGCAGTCGGTACGCTTCCACATGCTGAGGCGATAACTCAGATAAATGCAACGGAAACAACTCATTCCTCAGTTTCTGGAAAACACAGAAACAAAACATATAAATATAGGATGAATAGATATATAGCAAATAGTAAAATATTGTATTTTTAATTAATTATTAGGCCTACTTTTATTCAGGAAGAATGCATTAAATTAAAAGTATCAGTAAAGACATTTATAATGTTATACAAGATTTCTATGTCAAATAAATGTTGTTCTATTGAACTTTCTACTCATCAAAGAATCCTAAAAAAATGTATCATGGTTTCCACAAACATATTACCAAGCACAATTGTTTTCAACATTGATAAAAAAAGACGTTTCTTGACCACCAAATCAGCATATTAACATGATTTCTGAAGGATCATGTGAGACTGAAGACTGGTCTCACATTCAGCTTTGATCACAGGAATAAATTAAATTTTAAAAAACATTAAATTAGAAAACAGTTATGTAAGTAGTTGTAATATCGTCCTTTGTACTGTATTTTTAAAAGCAAAAAAATAAAATAAAATAAATGCCCTGAGTATGAGACTATGGCCCTAAAAGCATTTGGACACTTATGTTATCTCTACATTAGACACTAAATATCAGACAAGTGACATCTGCAAATAATGTTAAAGCTTTTCTCAGAACCAGCTTCACTTTTATGTGCCATTTCTGCTAGGTCAAAGATGAAAATATAAACTTTAATATGTTTTCTTCCCTTTCTACAGGAATAAAATATGAATCTTACAGCTAAACAAGCATATCATCTACCTTTATAACAATCTAGCTAGCTAGTGTGTCTGTGTTTACACTGTGTGTTCTTTATTAGCAGAGTGACTCTTTTGTGGTTCTTGTCAACAGTGCTGGTTTCCTGTAAGGCCTGACTTTAGCAGGTGGCCAATGAGTACAAAGCAACATTACACCATCATCATGTTCTTTACACATTACCAGGGGCTATTACTACTCTGGCAAGCAAACAGGAGCTTATCAGCATGTCTGTTTGTGCATGTATATGTGTGTCCATAAACTGGTCTGGGTTACATACAAACCCTAACACCTGCTCCATTTGATTGTAGAGAACAAACAGGCATGAAAACAGAATGTGGGTATATTAAACTGCTGTAAATGGACAACACACAAACATACACGCAATGAGTTTGCTTGCCGCTGTTAGTCCTGCTAGCAGGAGGCTGAACCAGATGTTTGGCTTCAGCAAAAGCTCTTATTGCCCGAAAAGCTTACAAATTCAAGTGGCTGTCAGTCTCATATGATCTGATTGAAATATTATGAGTGAACAAACGGAACATTCAAGAAACAGTCACTTCACTCAGTATGAATAGAAGCACATAATCAACGTGACATGAAAGTCACACATAATGAAAATAATGAAAGTCACACTCAAATGTCCAAAAATGTGAGACCACATTGAAAAGCTTGTTGTTGCAGTTTTCTAATTATTCTTTAAATACAGGACTTTTAAAAAAAACGTATGAATGCAGATAAAAGTAGATGCAAACTGAAAAATGTCCTAAATAAAATATTATTAATATTTAAAAAATGTTTGCCCTCCAAATCAGCGTCAAGAGGTGTGACTATTAAAGTCAGTCAATATGCAAAAATTATGATGTCAGATAATCTGACTTTATTATTACAAGACCAGGTTAGTTTATGTTGTGAAATGTGGTGCAGTTTCCCAAAACATGATATGAATAAATTTGTAATTCATAATATTGCACTGTGTACTACAAGAACTGTGTAGTATACTTTAAGGTTTAAAGAAAATATGGTATTACTTTTACCTTGTTGGTTATACCACATGACATTTTTAGAGATATTAAACTGTGTTTTTTAAACCATATAAAACCAATATAAATACAAAATTTACATTTCTAAGAACTTGACATGTGCTTAAATTAGATTCTTAAAAGATTTTTCCTTTTCTTTTTCTTGGACACTTAATATGTAATTTACCCATATAACAAAACTTAAATAAATAAATAAATAAAAATAAAAGCATTTTCACTAGAAGTCATTTATATTGGAATACAACAGAGAAAATATCTCTTGACTATGCAGGACTAATAACTGGATTGACTTTATCTATGCCATTTGAAAGCAGTGCAAAATACTTCATTAAATAAACTAATGTGTTATAAAAAGCACCAAAACCGGCCATGTAATGACCCAGCAAGTCTACAGTACCTACATATGAGGCATTTGATATCTCCAGATACTCACACCTGCCTAAGTGCCCGCTCTTAAGATGAGTTAGCCTAACGGTTAGCTTAGCTCTCCAGATCACAGGAAGCAGAAGGAACAAAAAGCATGCTTACTAATTCATGGCAGCAGTCAGGTGTAACGGGGCGTGGCCTTTGTTCTGGAGAAGATTCAGAAACGTTACACTGAGATCCTGAACCATGGATAATCTACAGGGCTAAAATTAGACTGTTGTGTGAATAGCTGCGAAGGGAAAATGGTTTGATCATTTCCAAGTACGTGAAAACAAATAGCCTTGAATAGCCTGGTGACCCCCAGGCATGTTGTGTTATGCTTTCTTGCAACTGTGTCTTTTGGCTGTGGTTGGCTGTATGTTGTCTGAGCGTTTGAGAGTGTGTGTTTGTGTATGGGAGTCAGTGTTTGCGTCACAACTGATCTGATAAAACTCTCCTTGACATGGCTCATATGACATTTTCTTAAAATAATCATTCAACTGGTCCATAAATAAATAAGTGAATGAATGAATGAACAAGTTTCAAATACAGCATATGTAGAAATGTGTAAAATACAGTAATGCTTCCATCACTTATGTTGCCTAAAGCCAAATTATTTGATGCTGGCATGGACCCCAGAATATTATGATCCCCCTTGCTAAAATAAAGTCAGCTGATATATACATTTTCATACATGAAGACCATTTCTATGGTGAAAAATATTGCAAAATTGTGGAAAATATTACCAGTAAAATGTTTTCTATTTCTATG